CTGCTCTAAGTACATCATCCCACCAGCTTCTCACCCACTTTGGTCTTTTTGTCCTGCTCCCTATAAACATTGTATCCAATCAAGTTCCTCTTCAGCTCAGAAACCTGTTTTGACTCCCCACTGTTTACAGATTAAAGTCCAGACTTCTTAGGGGAAAATCTCAAATTTGTACTCTGCAGCCCACGAGCTCTGTGAATAGCAGAGTCGTGCTGCCTCGTTGGCCGGGAGGCGGAGTGCTGGTGCTTTGGGCAGCAGATCCCTGTGCGAACGGAGATGGCCGCGCTGCAGACCAGAGAATGCCAGCTTCAGTGTCCATGTCACAGTCTTTAGATTCATTGAAACGTCGGTGCTAATAAGCACGCCCTAGCTTCTCTATGTATTTTTATCTAAGTTCCATCTAGATTCTGCAGAGGTATATGAAGAGAATGCACAAACACATTATGTGGACTCTTTTTCTGCCACCTTTTGATGTTCCTCTCTGTAAAATGGGGAGCTAGCTAGGAGGTAATGCACGTGAAAGTGATTCCGGTCTGACCTGTTCCCAACACTGCAGCTTCGTTCCTCTCCCTGCCCCTCGGGTGCCTGTTTCTTACATCTCTGTGTGCTCAGCACCTGTGATATTGGAAGCTCTCGTTTCTCTTCTTTGCCGAACTGGTAAAATTTCCACTCAGCCAGTGTCCTCTGAGGACCTGCCCACCTAGCATCCAGTTGTATCCAGTAGCCGCCCAGGGTCCACCTGACTTCTGACTTTTCCCTTAGTTGTTGTTGCTGTTTTCCATTTTATTTTTAATTTAAAAAAATTTCAAGGCCAGGCGCGGTGGCTCACGCCTGTAATCCTAGCACTTTGGGAGGCTGAGGCGGGCGGATTGCTCAAGGTCAGGAGTTCGAAACCAGCCTGAGCGAGACCCCACCTCTACCAAAAATAGAAAGAAATTAATTGACCAACTAAAAATATATATATACAAAAAATTAGCCGGGCATGGTGGCGCATGCCTGTAGTCCCAGCTACTCGGGAGGCTGAGGCAGGAGGATAGCTGAGCCCAGGAGATTGAGGTTGCTGTGAGCCAGGCTGACGCCACGGTACTCACTCTAGTCTGGGCAACAAAGTGAGACTCTGCCTAAAAAAAAAAAAAAAAAAAAAAAAAAAAAAAAAAAATTTCAATTATTGTGGGTATATAATAGTTATATATATTTGTAAGGTACATGTGATGTTTGATACAAACATAGTGTGAAATAGTAAAATCAGAGTAATTAGGGTATCCATCACCTCAGGCATTTATCATTTCTTTGGGTTAGGAACATTCCAATTCCACTGTCTTGATTATTTTAAAGTATCCCCTAACTTATTGTTGATTATAGTCACTTCGTTTGCTATCAAATATAGTTCATTCCATCGAACTATATCTTTGCACCCATTAGCCATCCCCACTCTATCTCCTCCTCCCCACTGCCCTTCCCAGCCTCTGGTAACCATCACCCTACACTCTTATCTCCATGAGATCAATTGTTTTTGATATGCAGCTCCCACATATGAGTGAGAACATGCAAGATATATCTTTCTGTGCTTGGCTTATTTTACTTAATATTATGTTCTCCAGTTCCATCCATGTTGTTGCAAATGGCAGGATTTCATTCTTTTTGTGGCTGTATAATGTTCCAGGTGTATATTCATCTGTTAATGGACACTTTGGTTGGTTCTAAGTTGTGAATAGTGCTGCAGTAAACAAGGGAGTGTAGATATCTTTTTGTTATATTGAATTCCTTTCTTTTGGATATATACCTAGCAGTGGGATTGCTTGGTCATGTGATAGTTGTATTTTTAGTTTTTGAGGAACCTCCATACTGTTCTCCATAGTGGTGGCACTACCTGACATTCCCACCAGCAGTGTGCGAGGGTTCCCCTTTCTCCACATCCCCACCAGCACCCGTTGTTGCCTGTCTCTTTGATAGAAGCCATTTTAACGGGGGTGAGATGATATCTCATTGTAGTTTTGATTTGCATTTCTCTGATGACTAACGATCTTGAGCATCTTTTCATATATCTGTTGGGCATTTGTATGTCTTCTTTAGAGAAATGTCTATTCAGATCCTTTGCCCATTTTTTAATCAGATTATTTTATTTTTTCCTATTGAGTTATTGGAGCTCCTTTTATACTCCTTGCCAGATGGGTATTTTGCAAATATTTTCTCCCATTCTATGGGTTGTCTTTTCACTTTGTTGATTATTTCCTTTGCATACAGAAGCTTTTTAGCTTGACATAATCCTGTTTGTCCACTTTTTCTTTGGTCACCTGTACTTTGGAGGTACTACTCAAGAAGTCCTATCCCAGACCAAAGTCCTGAAGAGTTTTCCCAATGTTTTCTCTCAGTAGTTTCATAGTTTCAGGTCTTAGATTTAAGTCTTTAATCCATTTTGATTTGATTTTCATATATGTTAAGAGATAGGGTTTAGTTACATTCTTCTGCATATAGATATCAAGTTTTCCCATTTATTGATGAGACTGTCATTTCCCCACTGTATGTTCTTGGCACCTTTGTTGACAATGAGTTCACTACAGATGTGTGTGTTCTTGTTGTTTTCAAGGCTTGTAGACCCTTAGGCTTGGAAAGGACTTTGAAAGATTCTTATGAATCATCGCAATTATAAGAAGAGCAGTCCTACTTTTCATGCCTTCAATAAAGGAGATAGCCCATTAATTCAGGCACACTCCTGTGTTTAACTTCCTAACAATGTAGAGTTTTGTTTCTCTAAATCTGGGTAGATTCTCATCCCAGTTCCACCTCTGACCTTGGTTGTGTAGGCTTATGGAAATCAGTTAACTTTCCCGAGCCACAGTGTCTCCCTGTAGAATGACGGAGACGAGGGTGAGGCAATGCCCTTCTCCATTTCCCACACCTGGGCTTATCAGTGGGGATGAACATTACACTGACAACATCCTTTCTGTACAAGCCCTAAATGCATCTGCCACATAATGTTCCCCAGAGATAAAATGGGCAGCAGCACCCCTGGCTGGGAGATGAAATAAATCTCTGCATTTTTCGGTTGGTTAATAGCAGAGGTGAGGCTATAGGTGTAAGTAAGCAGGGCCTAGCCTGGCACCATCTTTGGGGGGAGAGGCTGCAGCAAGCATGTGCCATCACCGGCTCGTTTTCTCTGTGCTTCTCATGATCTTGCTTTCTTCGCACCTAGGCTCTTTAATGTCTTCTCATCTACGTCAACATAAAATATAGAATGTGGAACAACAACAACAAAACACACCGAAAAAGCACCACCTTTGTAGAGCATTCTCAATCTCTTCCTCCTCCACTCTCCATTATGCTTCTGGATGGGACTAGAAGATTCCTTTGCCTCTGGTCCAGCTATGTCTTTCATGAAGGCTTTCAGGTCCAATCAGACCCCTTTCATCTCCACTCTGTGGGTGCATCATGCTGCTTTAATGTTTTGGCAGTGGTCTCACATGTAATTCTTTTTTCTTATTCCTACTTTCTCTTCTCCTAACTCTTTGGAAAGTTCTTCATGCATGTTCCTTATGATTTAGGAAATGGCGAACTGGTAGAAATGTCACCATACCAACAGGAAACTGATTTCTTTTATGCACTTTGCTGTAAGGATGTTGTCTTTCCCTGAGGTCCCTTCATGAAAAAACAAAAAAATGCATCTCTCCCAGCTTTTCTGTCCTGCTTGTTCTGCTCCATTAATACAGAATGGTCTGCTCTGTCAATGGCCACAGCCTGCCAGCCTGCCATCCTTCACTGGTTTCTTAGGAAGTGGAGGAGGGATGCGGCAGCAATTTGATTTCATCACTTGGCCCCACTGGATATGGCAGATGGCTGGCCCTGGGAGCCAGTGGATTGGAATGGGGTGTCTCGCAGCCCACTCTGTGTTCAAGGTTCATTTTGTTCAAGGGTGCAGTGCCAAGAACAGAGTCTTAGTCAAAGTGGAAGTCACAGGTGCTAAGAGCTCCCCACTTTTGCTCAGCTCCACATTCCTCTGCCTGCAACTCCAGCACTACCACGAGCATAGCTCTTCCTCTGCTAAGACCAGATTGCCTACTGGATCCCACCTGCCCAGTTGAGTTTGGGTGGTAATTGCAATCTAATTAATGTTTTATCGTCATCATGGCAAACGATCTCCAGCTGCTCTTAGGTCCATCTGCTTCTTAGGTTAGTTTACCTAAAGCTCTCAAGCTACTTCAACAAGGAGTTGCAAAGAGACTAACCAAGGAAAATTGTCTCATAAATAATAACGCCCAGCACTGGCTGAATGCTCTCATCGTGTGAGGTGCCACACATGCATCATCACTGCGTCTAATCCTCATTGCAGCTGTGCAAGGTAGAGGGGCGTGTATCTATCCTGAGAGATGGAGAAACTGAGGTTTGGGGGTTCAATAGTTTTGCCAAGGTCATAGAGCTAGAAAGTGGTAAGAACAGAATTCAAACGCAAGTTGGTCTGTTTCTAGAGTTCATGCTCCCAGCCATGTGTCACTCTCCTCTGGAAGAAATGGATAGAACCTGGCCTTGTTTCCTCAAATTATCCATCAGCATTTTCTTGTTCTGCATCTTGTCTCCTGCCTGCCTGTAGGCACCATATTTACCTACTCTGAACTTCAAGGTCCCCATGTAGGGGGTTAAGATTACACAAGATCATGTACACTGAGTGATTTATATGTGTTTTGTCAGAAAGTCATGGTTACATTTTTCAAGAGGAGTCTATACACAGACACTTGGTTTTTATTTATTTATTTTCAGTTTTGCAACCTAAAAATATTTACTTATTAAAACCATTAATACTTTAATAAACTATACAAAAAAGATAATGAGACCAACACGTGCATTTATAGAACCCAATGTCAGTCAGGCCAGTTCTCTGTAGAGGGAATTCCCAGCATGACCTCATTCATCTGTGAAGACACAGGGCAATCCTTGTTTAGATGTACACATTCATCTACTCGTCCAGGCGGTCAGCCCTCCACTTCCTGATGGTTTCCTTCTGCTAGGGATGTGCATGTCCTGTTGTCTGCTTCTTAGAGCAGACATTTACCTTCCTCATCCACCAGCCATTGGAGGAAGACCAAGCCATGCAGATGATTGATTTGACCCATTCTTTGGAAAGGGTTTCCTGGTGGCCCTCTTCCATCATCATATCTGGAATCAGATGAGTTTCCACAGCCTCTTCTTTTTTTCACATCTTGCTGAAGCAGAGTTTTGAAAAACAAAACCACAAACTCAGGTTTTCTCCAGAAGAAATCTGTTATCAAAGATAATCTCCATGGAGACTGACTCCGGCTGTCCAACAGTTGTCCATTCGAGATGTAAGACATCTCGCCCCCTTTCCTTGCTTCCGAGCGACTCTTGGTTTTTATTTGTAGAGAAGCATTTGGGATGCACACATTCTGCAAAAGATCACTTTTGCAGGTTACTTTATCAAATTTAAAGAATGGCCTTGCTAGTGAATGATATAGTTTTTCTTATTAAAATTATTAATACGTTAATAAACTATACAAAAAAGATAATGAGACCAACATATGCATTTATAGAACCCCATGTCAGTCAGGCCAATTCCCTGCAGAGGGAATTCTCAGCATGACCTCATTCATCTGTGCGGTCTCCTTCACAGACTTATGTTCTAGTAGCCAAGGTGAAGCCACCAGTGTGGTGGCCTAGAGGGAAATGACTGGAGAGGCCAGGTGTGGCGTATCAAGGTGGCCTGGGTAAGCAGTGTCACATTTACCTTCCTTCGGCTGAGCCACGTCCCCTTCCTGTTGAAGACTGTGCAGGAGATTAAGAATTTTGTTTCATTTCTACTCATTATACACCTTGGAGCAAATAGAAGCCTTTGTGGTTAGAACCTATTGAAATCCTGGGGCTCCCTTCTTCAATTTGATATTTCCTCCTGGTTTTCTTGGGGCTTGTTTCAAGAGAGGCTTGAGATATCATGCAGTATAATTGGATGACTGGTGTACTTTAATTAAGGCAGCAAGATTCACCATGTAGCACATTTCGGTTGATTGTAGCATGGCTAGGCGGTTGTCTGCTGGATAAGGCTAGATAGAGGCTCATTTTAATAACCCGCAAGGTAAAATTGCCATCTGTAGGTTGGCCTGCACTGTTAGGACTATGGGGTCACATTTGTGTGTAAAAACTAGGGAGGCCCCTGAATGATCAGCTCTTAATCTAATGCCAAGTGGGCTGTGTCTTAATGAGTAATGATAGCCAGTTCCCTGCTAGTGCAGGAAATGCTCGTTGCATGATATTAAATGATCTCTTGATAAATTTTAAATCAGGTCGGTTTCCTTCCAGCCCTCACAGCTATCTTCTCTAATCATGCAGTTTGTGCCTAGTTGAATATTTAACTAATTTTACTACTAGATTAGTCAGGGCACAATTTTGGAAGAAGAAAAATATCCTAAAAACCTGTCTTATTCCTAGCTCAAATGTAAATTACTTTGAGAGTACTTGGCATTTTGGAAAATGTGCTGCAATTGTATTGAAAATCAACTGTGCAAAGAGAAAATTTTTTAATTTTTAAAAATAAAAGCTCAGAAAACTTGGGAGTGTGGATATTTATAAGACGTAAGCCTGGCTAGAATAGAAGGAAAGACTATTTGATCATAATGGTAGTTATGCATCCAGATGGCATCCTACAGAAATCTTTCTAAGAATTGCCATTCACAGGGACTTATCGAAAGATGCTTTTGTTGTATGTTCCTGAGTCACATGCCTGGGTTGCTCCGGTCTCACTGGAATGCTTGGGGCCCTTTCTTTCTCTAGTAGCTTACCTGCCCCAGGTGCTGTCTAGCTCAGGATAATGTGAAGAAGTGACAGCCATGACCTGCTACACAGCTATCTCTCCCAAGACTTTCAGGAGACAGGGATTGGTTAATGAGACAAAAATAGGATTATCCCTATGTGTGTGTGTGGTGTGAACAAAGAGTCAGCCAGCCAGGACATACTTTTAAAGAAATATTTAATAAACGGTATCCTTAATCTCTCCATTGCTTTATTGAGTTTTTCCCCATGGCCTTCCTCGACTGGCCCAGCTCACAGCAAACTCCGTGCTCTCGTGCTCTGGCAACCGGCACCGCTGGCTGTCCAGAACCTGCCTCTCAGCCGTGCATGCCCCCTGTCTCCACCGAGTGCTTAGCTCCTCGAGAGCAGGAACCGCGTGAGAGATGGTTTCTTCATTCTTCAGAATACCTGGGACAAAGAGCCATAAACATGCCATGTGCTTGGCCTGCTGACCTCGCTCTTAAGAGGAAACAGCAATTTCCTTACTTTTCATCTGGAAACGAAAAAGGGAAGGAAACCTGGCTTCTCCATATGGATCTAGTTCATCTTTGAGCTGTTCCTTCATCACATGTGACCACCAACCTTCCTCAAATGCCATACATGCCTTTAAATGGGATTATGTGGCTGGTTTTGTTCACTTCTTGGCAGACTCAAGCCAGCTATGAGGCAAGGAGCAGTGTGCAGAAATCCAGCTTCATCCTATGTGACAGGGAGTGACTGGCAGATTAATTTCTTTTTGTACAAGGCTGCCCAGTGACTGAACCACTACTAATTTGTTAGAGGAGCCAGAGAACTGAGTCTGTGATGCATATGGTATCTTAGAAATGCTGACTTTCTTTTTTCTTTTGGCATTTGAGCTATATTACTAAACTGATTTTCAGAACTAACAAGAATATTGAAAGAAGCTTCTTCTGAAACAGTTTCATTTTCTTAGGAAATTTGCAAAACAAAAAACAACTAGGACACCTAAGGCTTGCTATCTTTTGGGAAATCATGCCAAGTCATAAAAATTATCTAAGGAATCCATAAACTTGGTATTATTCAGAACATGAGCATTGCTTATATTTAAATTTTTTCTTCAAATTAAGATGCTTAATAACACTAGGAGGGAAACATACAAGCAGCAATGGTGGAGGTAGATCTAGGAAGCGGGTAGGAAACCCCTGCCAGATGCTGGTCATGCGGACAGACTCTGAATAGGCAGCCCCTCCCCCCGGCTGGCCCCATTTGCGCTCAGCCCTTGACCTAGCAAAGTAATACAGCTGTCAGTGTTGGCGGTGAGGCCGGTGGGGGTGTTTGGTCCTGGGGGCGGATCCCTCACGAATGTCCTGGGGAGACACCAGGATGGGGGCGTTCTCACTGTATCAGCTCACACAGGAGCCGGCTGCTCAGAAGAGCCTGGCACCACCTCCTCCCCCCTTGCTCCTGTCTCGCCACGTGACACCCATGCTGCCCTTCACCTTGTGCCTCAACTGGGAGCTCCCGAAACCCTCCCCAGAAGCAGAGGCTGGTGCTCTGCTCGTACAGTCTGCAGAACCGTGAGCCGCATAAACCTCTCCTCTTTAGAGAGTACCCATCCCAGGTGTTCCTTTACAGCCACGCGACCTGGACCGAGACAAGTCCCCTCCTCAGGAGTATGGATTGGGACTGTGCGGGAAGATCCCTGCATGCCGCCTGGCCCCGCTGACAGCCGTGCCGTCCGCCACGTGGGCGAGAGAGCAGAGGAGGCAAGGACAGAGCGAGGAAGATGTGCAGAGGGAACTGAGATGAAGGCAGACCAAGGGGCCTCCTTGCTGGCATCCGTGGCCCTGGCTCCATTCTCTTCTGCAACCCCAGCTGAGCCATGGCTCTGTGAGCCACCCCATATGCTTCCAGCCTCAGCAGCGCTCCCTCACTTACTTTTCCCTGAAAACGGCTCGGGGCAGCTTCTGATACGAAGAATAGGGTCCTCGCTAATACACACGTCTACCTGTTAAAGAAGGATCATTCTTTCTCCTCGCTTTCCCATGAATTGCTTGGTTTCAGCCTGCATGATTTTTGCTGACGACACACATGTCCTCTTGTGTGCTATATGTAGGTCTGCCAGTCGGTATGAAAAAATAAAGGATATATTTATCCTGTGCATGAACAAATGCAGGGGACAGCACCTCAGGGCCTCCGTGGTGAGTCAGCTGCAGCCCCTCATGTGGCGCGGTCGCTCTCTAGCACTGCTGAGTGTGAGTGTGGAATGCAGAGCTGGGTTGTAGAGTCTTTCTTTTTTTAATGAGATAACAGAAATAGAAATTTTTATGAGAAACCTCTTGATTTTGAATTGTTGACTCAAACTGTGTTTATATATGCAGCAGAACCCTCTCCCTGTCAAAAATGTCTGTGGGCTGCTTGAGACCCTACCGTAGCTCCTTGTTATTCATAGTATGGTCTGAGATAAACAAGGTCAGCGTCACTCAGAAAGTTGCTAAAAGTGTAGAATCTCAGGCACCCTCCCAGACCTGATGAATCAGAATCTGCATTTTAACAATCCCTGGTCATTGTGTCTTCCTTTAAAGGCTGAGAAGTCTTGGCTTAGTTCATTTCCATAAATTTGGCTGCATATTGAAATTACATGAGAAACCTTTAAAAAACTACTGATATCTGGACCTACTCCCAGAGATTCAGTTTTAATAGTCTGAATGTAGCCTGGCTTTTTTTTAAGAGCTCCTCAGGTAATTTTAACATACAGCTAAGCCAGGATCCACCACTTCTATTCGCCT